CATAATGGTGGAGCACCATACGCAGGTATCGACAATGCAAGTACGGTGCGACCGACCCATTATTCGAGAAGACATGCGCTATTCGGGACAAGCAGGACGGCTGGATCATGCTTAAACGCGCGCTGAACTGCATCCAAGGGGGAAGTATGCTGGAGTTGTCAAGCTTTGGCTGGTCAACCAGCCCGACTACTGCCAGGCGTGATTACTTGTCAAAGTGCTGCGAAATTGTAAACCGTTCAGGTGCCCAGAAGGGGCGCCTGTAGCTGAAGTTCGACACCTGCAGTTCTTCAGGCGGACGCGTCCTACACGCGCGTGCGACCAACGGCCATTCGCGGCCGGGTGAGGTGCGGTCGCTGGGCATGGATGGGGGTCCACGATTCTTCAGCGGCGCGAAAGTGGAGCATTTAGGACAGATCATGAAGAATGGACTGTCGCTCCTGGCCCAGGACACTCCCATAGGGAAATCGGGCAGGCAGTTCATTCACGGTTGTCCGTACCTCCCAGGCGATCTTCGCATCCGGTCCGATTTGCGTATAGGTGTCGAGATAGTCGCCCGCCATTGTCGACGTCGCGGTGCCGCAAGACGTTGGGCAAGGGGCCTTCGTAGCCAGCGGCGTCGTGGTCGTTGGAGGCGTCGGTGTCGTCGGTGATGTTGAGGCCAAACTTGACGTGGTTGGCGATCTGCTTATCCGTCGTGGGCTCGCCTGCGCAGCCTTCTGGGTAGAAGTCGTCAACCGAGTCGACCTCCATGGTGCGCACCATGAGCTCCTTCCACGTCCGCGGCGAGAAGATCTTGAACTTCTTTACCCCGGGGCCGAGCTTCGCGCCAACCTGGTTGCTCAGCTCCTGCAGGTTCCGACGCCCGAGGGCCCGCTCGACTCCCCGGTCTCTGATCATCGAGGCAATCAGCGGAGCGATGGCCTCGTTCTTGTTGAGCTGATCGGCGATGTATTTGTTGTCGGCCTCGACGCTGTTGCAGAGCAGGTTGTCGACGCCAGCTGCCACTGCGCGGGTCTTGGGCTTCTTGGCGACATCGCCGTTGGCAGGGGTCGGCGGGCCTGGTGGAGTCCTCGCAGGCGGCAGGCGACGCCCAGGACGGCGAAGCAAGGGTTCGGGCCACGATGGCAGCGGCACGGAAGGGACGGGCCCAGCACGGCCTCGGAGGTTACATGTTGTCAGTTTGTCAAGCAAGGAGTCCAGCATGCGCCCCCAAAGCGCCGCCCCCCAGGACTCCACTTTAGGAATCCAAAAAAGGTCCGTCGATTCCCCCAGGGGGGGGGGGGTCCGTGGATTCTTGGGGGGGGGCACTTTGCAGCAGATTGCGGGCACCTCCTGGCCCTGCCTTGGGGGCCCTCTTGGGGCCCTCTTCGGTTTCTCTTCGGTCCTGTAGGGCGACGCGCGCCAAAGGGGCCCCCAAGAGGGCCCCAAGGAGGCTCAGCGGGGCCCATGTACGATTATATGGTGTAGAGCTCCCCTTGGAACCCTCTGAGAGCCCCCATCGGGCCTCCCATAGACAGCCCTGGGAAGCTCTAGACGTGCCTAGAGACGGCTCCGAGGGGCCCCCAAAAGGGCCTCAAAGGGCCCCAGGATTGCCCCAAGAGGCCCCACGACGACTACGATCTAGAGCCCCCGACGGGCCCCACAAAGTTGCCCCCGAGGGCACCAAATCGTCCCAGAGGGCCTACCCTACTCCTTCCCTGTCCTGCCTCCCCATGCATCCTCCATCCGCCCCCGTCCTGTGCAAGGCCCCTCCCTCATGTGCGATTCCCTCTCCGCGCTCTCCCCTCCCCCCCCGCTCCCTGCGGACGGGTTGCCCTCAGCAGCTCCAGCGCTCTCTTGGTGGGGAAGGCGATCTTGGAGACCATTTAGGTACCCAGCTGCCTGCGGCAAGTCTGGCCACCGTGCCCGTCCAGCAGGTAGGTTGGGTGGCGACTATCCGAGGGGGCACGGGAGGCGGTTTATTGTTACGTGTCGGGCTTCTTGAAGGTTCTGGGGGTTTCTTGAGGGGTTCGTTGGAGCTTCTTTTTTTTGGAGGGTTCATGGCAGCGCCTTGGGGGCGCCTCGGTGGCTCTTGGGGGCTCCGTTGGCCGTCTGAGGGCGCTCTTGGGCCGTATGGGCGCTTTCAAGGTCCATTTGTGTGGGGGTCGTCCGGGTCGTTTTGGGGCTCCCTTGGGAACCTTGGAGGCCGTCTAAGCGCCAACGTGGGCCGACTTGGGGTCCTCTTGGGCCGCTCTTGAAACATGTTGGCGCCCTCGTGAGCCGCTTTGGGGCCCTCTTGGTGCCCTCCTTGGGCGGTTATGAGGCCATCGTGGAGGTTTCTGGGGCAGTCTTGAGCGGACGAAAATTCGAAACGGCGATAATGCGATGTTGTGCTCACAAATCATACGCAAAACCACTGAGTTTGGCATCTTCGAAGTTGGTTGGAAGCTCTATCGGGGCATTCTTGGGCCGTCTTGGAGGCCCTTGGGGTTGTCCCGAGGCCAGATTGAGTCATACCAGACCGTCATGGAGGCCTCTTGGGCCACTTTAGCGGCCTGGGTGGTTTGCCAGGTCCGTTTCGGAGGCCATCTTGGGCGTCTTAACCGCCCAGGGAACCCCAGGCACAGGGGATGGTGCACACAGCTGGGCGCGGCGAGCGGGGGGGCGACTACTGCCACCCTGCCAGGCAACACTCGGCACCCTTCCACGCCTCAACGTGGAAAGGCACGGTGACGGATTATTGTGTTTATGCAATCATGTCATGCACAACGAGTAAATCAGTCGTGTAGCCCCGTCTTCTTGTTCGTTGTGTGTATCTGGTTTCGTTCGTCTGGGAGGTCTTCGTTTCGTCAGGGGCGAGATGGATCCACCGAGGTCTGTCGACGTGGCGTGATGGAGCTATCGTTGGGACGTCTTGGCGGGGCCTGAGGCCGACTTGGATCCTCCGTGCACCGTCAGGACCGTTTTTTGTCTGACAGTGATGGGGCCGCTTGGTGGCTCTCTTGGGGCAGCGTTGGGCCGTCTTGGAGGCTTCTTGGTGCTCACTGAAGCTTCCCCGAGGCGACCTGAAACCGAAAGTTTCGGAAGCAAACCACCGCGGTGTCCTTTGTATTTGTTTTAAATGCACGTTGCCTCTGAAGGCCTGGCTCAATGTCTGTACAGGTGTATGTTCGAAGATTCGTGCGGCATAGTGGGGGAATTATTTGGTCCTTTGGGGCTCATTGGGCGGCCCTTGGGTGCTCTTGGAGCATCGTCTGCGGCGGACTCTGGCCGAATGGGGGAGTGTAAGGAGGCCGAAGATCACGCGGGGAAGCAAAGCCAAGGGCAGCAAGCTCGGAGGTTGGTCGCGAGAAGGGGTCAGCCCTGGACACTTGCAGAACCCTTTGCCGCACAACCAGCAAGCACCCTAACACGACCTATGTGCCTTTGGCGCGTCGACCGACTTCGTAACGGTCTCGTCTGCGGCGTGATCAGTGCCCAGTGGCGAGCAGTGATCGAGTTCCCCACGCTTCTCCCAATATTTTGAAGATCGTTGGCCCTCGCGCCTCTCAGGCTGAGTGTTTTCTCTCGGAGGGCGGTGTCGCGTCGGCGTGGGGGTCCGTTGTCAGCGCATGGCACGCTTGGTTATTGTGCTGATTTAGCGTGTTCTGGTTTGCTCGAAGCGTGGTGAAATGCGGTTAGCCTTGACATCAGTTGGCAAGCACAAAGTGTTGGTGTGTGTGTATGTGTGTGTTCACTCTTTCACCGGTTTTCTGAAGCCACGGTGGACCCCCAGATGGAATTCCTCACTTTTCGCATACCCCCACCATCCCATCCAGAAACGATACCCAGGCGAGGTGTTGGCAGAAGGGAAGCACATAGTGAAACGAAGAAGCAGACATCAGTGAACGTGGAGAGCTCATGGAACCTCTTGGAGTCATCATGGCTGTCTCGGGGCCCCTTGGAGCTGTTGGAGTCCTAATGGGGCTCCATTGGTGCCCTCTTGGAGGCCTTCAGGACCCGTCTGGGGCCCTGGATAACATCGATCAGCACAAGGGAGCGGCGTATATTACAGCCCCCGTGTCCGAGCCCCAAAACTCGAATCTTGGAGCGCTCTTTGACCGTCTTGGGGCCCCTGTGGTCCCTTGGGGGGCTCCCTTTGGCCATTGATGAATCTTCCTGACAATTCAGAACTCCGTCAGAAGCGAAATAGCCAGACTGCCAAACGCCATCGACTGGAGAGAATCCTTGGGAGGCCCCGTGGCCACTTGGATCCGTCTTGGGGCGGCGCTCTGGTCTTGACGCGAGCGGGGCCCGGCATGCGGGTTCGTCTTGGCTCCCGATTCGGTCCGCTTCGGGGTCTTAGTGGGCTCCCTCACAGGGCCCTCTCCGAGCCGGTGTGGGCCGTCGTTGCATATCTGTGCCTCCCTTGAGGGATCATGGCGCCGTTTGGGTGGTTCGTGGAACCGTTTGGGACTGTCCTGGGGATGGCTCCGTCCTATCTTGTCTCTCCCTCCAGCTCCTTTTTTCCTCCCCTCGTCCTCCTCTCCTCCACATGGGGTGGTCCTGACGAAGTGGTCCGGACGAAGGTCCCAGAATATGTTGCTTGGGGCAGCGATCCGGGCCATGGATCGTTCACGCTGGCGGGCCAGCCTCCTCTGGACGCCGCGGGGTGAGCGCCCTCCAGCGGAGGTCCAGGCCCGTCCACTGTTCGGTCGACTCGACGACGTGTGCCGACGTCTGCGTGCGGCATCGCGGTCAGTTCGGTCACGCACCCTTCGTGGCGGCTCCCCTCCCCAACGGGATGGGAATCGGTTCGGCCGCTCGCTCAGTCCGATCGTGCAGCCGGTTCGGCCAGTCTGCGAGACGGGGCAGCGTGTTGACAGCCACGAGCTTGTCCTCGGCATCGCTCGGACGTGTGCATTTTTCCTTCGGCGAGGATCATCGAGGAGCACCCTTGACCATTTGGCGAAAAAAACACGCACGAAACCGAAAACACACACAAGGAATGGACGTCCGAGCGATGGCGAGGGTCTGGCCAGGACGCTCACCGCCACGCTGGGCTCCACGCTGGCCAACATGCCCGCTGCCCAGGCGCTCGCGTGGGCGGAGCTGTACGCCGAGATGGGGCTGGCCGGCGGCTTGGCCGCTGCAGAGGCTGGTGGGGTGTTCTCGACGAGACGTCATAGTGACCTTTCGCCGGAGTGACCTTTGGTGCGGGCACATATGGGCCCCCAGATGGCCGAACGCGAAGCGGTAGTAGCGGCTAGCGCGCTTGGATTTGGTCTCCCCGCGGCCCCCCAAAAGCCGCGCACCAAAGGTCACTCTTACCCAGGGTCACTCTTGCGTGTAGCCGATATTCCCAGGAGGCAGGATGAGGGGCGGGCAAGGGCAGAGGGAGGAGGAGTGGATAGTATGCATTCCTGCCCGCGTCATGGTACCACCCATCCGACAGCCTCGGCGGGCGTTGGCTCAAGCAGCTTGTTGCACCTATAGGCGAGCCTGGCTGAGGAGCGCTGGCCGCGCCTAGCACGTGGTAAAAATAATCGCCCCCATGTCGTTGGCAAACTTGAAGAGACACCATGCACAAGGTCCTTTGGAAGAGGCCCCCCAGAGCTAGGATAATATGTATGAGATACATCACAGAGGTGGGGTTGTTGTTTTTTTACAGATGCTGTAGAGCATGGGGCCGATACTAGGTTACCGGCCGAAAGCTATGAGAGAACGAAAAGAAAGCATGGCCAAATCTCACAAGTTGAGTCAGATGACGGCATCCGTCGCAGCTGCAATGCGGCTGGCACCGCAAGCGCAAGGCCCGACAGGAGGTTGAACGACTTCGCAAGCATGATCCCCTGGGCAGCAAATGTCGGCAAACCCCGTCAGAGTCCCATTCCTGAGGAACATGGAAGTGAGTCAGACTTGAACCCAATCTGGGAAAGAGGGCCTCCCACGATGGCGTGATCACGGACTACAGGGGGTCTCCTCCCGATCAGACTCAGGAGGGCCAGGTACGAACAGGACTACGGTCAAGTCTTTCCCAGAGTAAAAAGGATCATGCGACAGCGCATCCTTGTTATGCATGGACAGACCCAGGGGTGCAAGTCACAGCTTCTGGCGCCGACCACCCAAACGGAGGCTTGGCCAGGACTGGCTATCCCAATTCATGCGTGGAAGATAAGGCGATGAGGGGATGCAGGCTCAAATCCAAGTCGCAATTAGCAATGATTATGAGTCCCCGCCCGACGCTAAAGAGAATGGCGATGTAGAGGCAACTTGGCAGGCTGTTGGCCACTGCCGCGATGGTCTAATGGAGGTCGATGGCCCTGACCTCTGCATGTTCGGACCCCGTCAAGTGCGGACGGGCCCATGGGAACAGGAGCCATCGAGAGATTTATTCCGGAACCCCCACCGAGTGCGTTCCCAGACTTGTCGAATTCGGTCGGCCCTCCGTCATCCACGGCGCGCGGGCCACTGCTCCGAGGGTTGGTCCTAGTGTTCAAAGTGAACGACGGAGGGCGACGCAAGTGACAAGCCCGCAAGCGCGACAACGAGACCAGCCAGCGCCGTCGTAGTCGCGAGAGTTTGGGGACGATCAACCGTCGGTCACCCTTACCCTCGGGGGAAGATCCATTCAGCCTGATCGCGACAGGCAGCCAGAGAGAGATATGTCGATGTGGGCCCTCATTGCACCTCCTGCGTCGCGTGTGTCTGCACACGCTGGCGTAACGCACGTTCTCTCAGAAACATCAACCTTTGATCGTTCTCTTCGTCCGTCCCAAGCTGCTCGGGGTCTTCGTCGGAGGCCTCCAGTGGCGCGCCGCCGGTTCAGGTCGACAGGGAGGAGGAGGGAGGAGGTCGACAGGGAGGATGAGGGAGGAGGGATGGAGGAGGCGGAGGAGGGAGAGGAGTATGCGGAAGTGAGGGCGACGAGGAGGAGGAGGAGGAGGACGAGGACGAGGACGAGGACGAAAACGAGGAGGACGAGGAGGAGGATGAGGAGGTGGAACAGGAGGAAGGACAGGGGGACCCTCCTCTTTTGGCGCGCTGGGCAGCTCAGGTCGACGGGCCTCACCTCGTCTTCTGGGACGGGTTGGGTGCCACGCTCAGCGCCGCTGCTGGGGAGGGCGGCCTGACCTCGCAGGAGCCCTTGCCGCGCCCAGCCACGGGTGCCAGAAGGGAGCGGAGGGGAGCGGGGGCGGGAGGGCGGGAGAGAGGGGGGGATGGGGAGGGTTGGGGGTGGGTGGGAGGGGATGCGTTTGTCCACTCACCGTGCTTGGGTTCTCGCATTTGTTCTGCGGGACTGGGCCAGTGTGGCGGTCTGGCGGTTCCGTGCTTACCGTCGCCGCCCAGTCGCCGCTTTTTCGCCGCCCGTCGTCTGGGCCTGGGTGGCGGGTGGCGGTTTGGCGGTTCCGTGCTCGCCGTCGCCGCCCCGTCGTCGCTCAGATTGTAGAAATACGATTCCGCCCCATTGATCATTCGAAATATGAACCCATGCCATCACAGCCAGGCCAGCATCAACCCCGCAAAATAATGTCATGCGTGCTGCTCGCGCCCGTCGGCTGCGCGCGCATGTCCCAGTTTTGTCCCCAGCCTTCATCACCAACATGTGGACACCATCATCGTCATCGGCGTGATCACCATCGGCGCCGCAATTGGCCTTGCCGTCGTCATCGTCACCGTCTTCGCCAGCACATCATCATGTCTGCCGTTGTCGACGTCGCCATGATGCCGCGCCCGCCCCAGTGAGCGACTCGCATTGAAGTGCCCGCGCGTCAGTGCGGCCTGCGGGACGCGCTCGGAAATCCCCACCGGTCAGCGCCACCGCGGCCCCGTCGGTCGCGCCAGACTAGCTGGCCGCTCTGCGCGCGAGCTTGCGCGCTAGCGCGACCGCAACGATGCGCCAGCCAGCGCGAAGCAGTCACCGCAATCGCCGCCGCATGGATGTTGCAAATCAAGTTTCGGGTGGATGGGATGGTTTCGAGAGCAGTGGAGCTGAGAAGTTGAATTCTGGCAGGGATACTGGCACAACGTAGATTGAACCACACAGAGCGTGTGCCACCTAGATTCCACCGCGCCGATTGGCCTTTTCTACAAGAGTAATAGGACATCACCCCTCTCCCCCCCGGACTTTACGGGCTCTCTTCGCGCATGGCAATTTACATACGGTGTTGCCCCATCGCCCATCCGAAATATGAATTCCGACTATCCCAACTAAACCGTTCCCACCCCCCATCATCCTCAGGGAAAATAGTATGCGCGCGCCCTTGTTTATCGAGAGCCATCAGTGTTCAAGAACTTTTTCACCAACAAGCGGGACGAACTGCACACGCGTTCGTCGTCGTCGCGCGCGCATGTCGGAATCTTTCAAAATCGAGCGTCCCGAAAACATTTGTTTTCACCACAAAAAAACATGGTTTCGTAATGTTCCAGCAACGCCTTCGCCCGCGCTCCTGCGATTTCTTATTTGTTTGTTTTTTTCTCTCGCGCGCATGCCGGAATCGCAAGATAACCCCTGCGCGTGTGTTGTCGCACGAACCATGTTCGACACATGTGGCGAAGTGCGCACGCGCGCGTCGTCTCGCGCGCGCATGCCGAAATACGTCAACAGGTCGGGTATTCGTAAGGATTTTCAAATCGATTGCCCCGAAGACAGACATAATACACGTGGTTCTGCAACACTCGTTTTTTACAACAAGCCATTTTCGAGGTTTTTCGAAGTCGTCCAAATTCCGTACTTGCATGAGCATTCGCATGACATTATGCCAAACCGGGCTTCTCGCGCCGCGTGTCAAAATCATTCGAACGCCTTTGCGCGCGTGTTTTGGGGGGAGGGGCACGATCTTTGTCAAATAATTCCATGCGGGCCCCTTGCGCGTCGTCCGCGCGCGCATGCCGAACTCTTCCCAAAGCCTTCATCACCGATGTGGCGACGCCGTCATCGTCGCCACCGTAATCAGCATCGGCGCCGCCACCGGCCGTGCCGCCGTCGTTGTCACCATCGTCACCAGCATCGCTACTATCATCATCGCGTCTGCCGTTGTCGACGTTGCCATGGTACCGCGCCCGCCCAAACAGCCGACGCGAACTGAAGTGCCCATTGGGAATTGCCCGGCGGTCACCGCCATCGGCCGCGCCAAACAAGCTAGCAGTTGGGCGCGCGAGCATGCGCGCTAGCGCGGCCGCGGCGATGCGCCAGCCAGCGCCGAGCAATCATCGTAATTGCCACTTCATACGTTTTGCAAGCCTAATTGCGGCGGATGGGTGGTATGATTGCGCGAGAAGTGGAGTTGACAATGTCAATTCCGGCACAGTGGATTTTTCTAAAAAGAGAATCGACTATACCCCCCCCCCGGCGTTCGCCGCCCCCCTTTCGGCTATGTAAATCAGGTATGCTTCTGACCACATGTCCACCCGAAATATGAATTTACACTATCCCCGGGGGGCTGGTGTCGGCCCCCTTCTGAGGTTCCCTGGTAGGAAAAAAAACATACGCGGGGACATGTTGTGTTCTAACATAATATTTGTTCACGAATCTTATTTGCAAAAGAGCAAAAGATGGGACGAAGTGCGCGCGCGCGACTTCGCGCGCGCATGCCGAAAACCCTTCAAAAACTCTCGGTGTTGGAAGGATTTCGCAATCGAGTTTCCCCAAATACATACAAAAACACAGGGTTTCGCAACACGGATGTGCTAAACATTTTTGGGGCAAAAATGCAAATTGTCACAACATGCTACCAAACGGGCTTCGCGCGCGCGCATGTCGAAACCTGTCGAACGCCCTTGCGCGTGTGCCGTCGCGAGGATCCTCTTGCAAAAAATAGGACGAAATGCAGACGCGCGCGTCGTCGCGCGCGTATGCCGAAATCCTTCAAAACCCATCTGTTTCGGAAGGATTTCAAAATCGCGTGTGTGAAAACATACAGAAACACAAGGTTTCGCAACACGAATTTTCAGCAAAAGCGGGCGCGCGCGCTCTTGCGTCGTCGTCGTCGTCGTCGTCCTCGCCGTCCTCCCTCTTTCCGCGTGGTCGTCGTCGTCGCCTACGTCGTCCTCTGTCTTTCCTCGTGTTCGTCGTCGTCGTCCTCTTTGGCGTCGTGGTCGTTTCCGTCGTCGTTGTCGCCGTGGTCGTCTTTCCTCCTCCTCTCTCGTCGTCGTCGTCGTCCGTCGTCGGCGTCTCGTCGTCGTCCCTCCTATGTTTTCGCCGTCGTCGTCGTCGTCGTCGTTGTCGTCGTCTTCGTCTTCCCTCCTCCCTCGTCGTTGTCGTCGTCGGCGTCGCCATCCTTCCTCCTTTTTCGTCGTTCGCGTCGTCGCCGTCCTCCCTCCTCCTTCGTCGTTGTCGTCGTTGTCGTCGTCGCCGTCGTCGTCCTCCCTCCTCCCTCGTCGTCGTCTCCGTTGGCGACGTCGTCGTCGTCTTCGACGTCGTCGTCGTCTTCGTCGTCGGCGTCGTCGTCGACGTCGGCGTCATCGTCGTCGCCGTCGTCGTCGTCGTCGTCGTCGGCGTCGTTGACGTCGTCGTCGTCGTCGGCGTCGTTGTCGTCGGCGGCGTCGTCATCGTCGTCGTCGTTGCCATCGTCGTCATCGCCACCGCATGGGTTTTGCAAACCAAGGTGGGATGTTTGCAAGAGAATGGAATGTATCAACTCGTTTGTAAAAATCAAGTTCACCACATAAACTGTACCACAAATTGTAGCCAGCGTGGGTCCGAACGGTGTGCATCCAGCCATCTATGTAGTGCAATAGACGTGGAACAAACTACGTGGTGCATTCTACGCGGTGCAATCTGTATAGTGCAACCGATGTTGTACAACCGATGTCGTGTATTCATTGTTGTGCAGTCGACGTGGCGCAAATTATGTAGAGCAATCACTGGTGCAAGTTGCGTTGTGCAACACACGTTCTTCAACCGATGCTGTGTAGTATATTTGCGGTGCGGTGTACATGGTACAATATATGTGGTGCAAGCGATGTGGTATAATACATGATGTGCTGTACACGTTGTGCAAAACAGTGTGGCGCAAATCAATGCAAAACAAGTCAAGCGTTGCAAAACAATATAAGGTAATGGGAAGCAACGCAACGCAATGCAAACGCACGCAAAACACAAACCAACGGAAACAAATTAGCTTGGCGAAGGAACCAACCACATGCAGTTATGAGTACCGTCGTCGTGTGCACCGCATTCGGATGACATCGCTATTGGGCCACGAATCGTATGAGGGTTGTACCAGAATTTGCCCGGTGGGCGCCTGCGAAAGCAGCAGCTATTGGGGCCATCGGTGGAATTCCTGAGGGGCCACGAGACACGTGAGAGGTGTGCCGAAGTAGGTGCGGGGAAGCGCCTGCCAACGCAGCCATTGGGGCCGTCTGTGGAACTCCCCGTGGGGCCGCGAAACGTGTGATGGGTATGCCGACATGGGTGCGGTGGGCGCATGCGAACGCAGTTGCTGGCGCCTTCGATGGAGATCCCGATGGGGCCACTAAACGCGTGAGGGGTGTGCCGACATGGGTGTGCGTGACGAGTGCGGGCGGTGGCACTGTCGCCTTCTGTGGAGCTCCCTATGGGGCCACGAAACGTTTGAGGGGCGTGCCGAGATGGGTGTGCGTGATGCATGCTGGCGGTGACACTGGGCCCTTCGGTGGAGCCCCGTGTGGGGCCACGAAGCGTGTGAGGGGTGCGCCGCAAAACGTGTGGGTGACGCACGCGGGCGGTGGCACTGGGACCATCGCTGGACCTCCCTATGGGGCCCCGAGGGGTGTGCCGGAACGGGTGTGCGTGACGCATGCGGGTGGTGGCACTAGGGCCCTTCGGTGGAGCCCCTTTATGGGGCCACGAAATACGTGTGATGGGGTGTGCCGAAGAACGTGTGGGTGGCGCATGCGGGCGGTGGTGGCAGTGGGGCCTTCGGTGGAGCTCCGTAGGGGGCCACGGAACGTGTAAGGGGTGTGCCGACATTGGCGTGCGTGACGCATGCGGGCGGTGGCATTAGGGGCGTCGGTGGAGCTCCCTATGGGGCCGCGAAACGTGTAATGGGTGTGCCGGCATGGGTGCGGTGGGCGCATGCGAACGCAGTTGTTGGCGCCTTCGGCGGAGCTCCCTATGGGGCCCCGAAACGTGTGAGGGGTCTGCCGAAAT